TGCTAGGGTTGCCCATGGAGTCGCTGACAGACCCCAAGAGTCTCTGCTACCGGCTGTCACTTGACAGCCAGACTGCCCGCGCCCCAGGTTGCTCAATACTGCTCACGTCTTGCTGTTCTTTTTATCAAGGAATGGCCTGCCCAGATGTGATGGCAACCATTGCAGCACATCCCCCGTAATGGTACAGCAGGGCACCGATTCCTGAGCTCCACGTGTCGGAGTTGGAGTGCTTTCCTCGAGCAAACTTGGAAATACCAACACAGGTCCCGTTCACAGCCATCACTGCAGCTTTGCAGTGGCGTTTTTGCACCTCATTGCTGCACAGTGCTAAGGGGAAAAGGCGACTCCTATGGACCATGAGGATATCACAATACTTTTGTATGATCCGTATGGAGCTATAGGAGCTGGGCTTGGCCTTTAAGAAAATTAGATCAGATTTTATACCAGTAATACTATGGGGAAGCTTTCCATTACTACTTCTAAACCATTCTGTGTTGCTTGGGTGAAAGAAATGGGAAACAGTAGACCAGATTCTGGTATTGGTATTTGGCAGGTGAAAATTCAGGCTCAAATTTTGCTGATTAGGATTTTGATAAACTCCACTGTAGATGTAGAGGTAATTTGTATTTACACCAGTCTTCTGGACATGGGGAAATAGCTCTGGAGGTGCAAAAGCTGCAGGCCAAATCTGGCAGATCTCCTCACCCTTCATGAAGTCCAAAGTTTCTGCTGACTTCAGTGAGGATCCAAGTAAAGCCTTTAGGTTTGGAGCCATTTTTATTTTTCGTCTCAGGATGGTCTGGAGCACTCAGTGCTAATTGAGTCTCCTACATTTTGCTGTCTTTTCCGTTCTCTATTCAGAAGCGTTGCTCTGTCCCTGCTCCCAAGCGTTTTAGCTTTCTAAATGACTTACTAACATAAGGCTATGGAAGTTTGTGTACCTCTGAGTTTCCCACACCATTTCTTAACTATATTCATTCCTGTCACAAAGGAAGTGTGCCTGACTACAAACCGCATTAGCAACGGTGCTTGCCTCTGCATTGTGCTCAGTGGGAAGCCCCGCTCCCAAAAGGCCATCTGGGCAGCATGGGAGAGAAGCGATGGGAGCAATGAGCGGCTCTCCAGACTTGGGAAAGCAGCAGCATCTTTAAGTCTTCCTAAAGAGCTAACATCTGGCGGAGATTCTGGGAGAAGGCTGTTGCTAATGCCGTATTTCAAACATGTTATCCAGATCCAGTATCTGGGGATGCTAATAAGGTTTCTATGCAATATTGTGTATGTTTGGAATGCTGGTAGAAGGTGTGTAACTCAGAATTCGTTACCCTTAGTGTAAAGTCCACTGACTCTGATAACTTTATAATAGGCAGGGATTTTTGTTACCGTTTTTCTTTAGGATTTCCAACCAAAACAGAAGCAGAGCATCTATTTTGATGAGTGAGGAAGTAGGAACCTCAGTGGATTCACCATCTGGGGGAGATTGTGCTACATTCATCTCACAATAGTACATTGAATATTGTAATTTTTATTGCCACATACAGTTTAAGTATGTGGGGCCTCCGGCCTCTATAGTGTAGTGAATTTCTGACAGCCACAGAAGATCATTGAGCTCAGTAGCAGGCTTTAGGTCAGTTTGGATCCTAATGGAGAAGAAATTTTGAGTGCTGACCCCTTGATTGTGCCATGTGCCCAACCACTACCAGAGGGTCACCAGGCGAAGCGTTGGCACAACTGTCTCCTGCTCCTTTCCCTTTGGCTTTGGACTGGCCAAACGTGGGGCAGCGGGGCTGTTCTGGAATCCCTGCTAGGAAAGCTGGTACTGGCTTTGCTGGACTATGGGTTTTGGGGTTTTTTTTGTAAGGGACCTGAGCTCGCATTGCTCTGAAACCAGCACGCAGGAGCTAAACTGAGGGTACAGGCATCAGGGGGTTAGTCACATCCATGCAGCGTGGGTCACGGAGCGTGCTGTGCCTTCATCGCAGTTGGAGGCGGGAAGTCTGAAGGGTTGGGTTACTGCGATAATGCCTGACCATGTAATTACTAAACAGCAGGAGAAAAACGGGTCCATTACATCTCAAGCTCACACAGACAACAGACATGGAACAGGACTTGATGCTCGGGATCCTGGAAAAAATCAAGTAGGCATTTTTATCCCATACAATTAATTCCTTCAAGAAGGTATATGGAAGTTACTTTCTTGGAGCAAGACATGAGATATAGGTTTTCATTCTCTTTTAACTTGAGTTAAATGTTGTAATAGTTAATTAAGCAAAATTTCTACCAAGATCAAGTAGAGTAAGGTGGTTCAGGGTTGCGTGATTATACCCATGGAGTTAACTTCGTAATTCCCTGGGTGCTGAGTGGAGAAATAAGAGGTTCACGTGTAAAATCCCGCTGTAGAGATGCCAGTTGGAATCAGCAGTGGCAGACGTGGGTGGCAATGTGTTCGGCCTGGTCTGGATCAGCTGAGGGGCTGCAGCCAGCAACAGCCGCTCTGCGCTCCAGCCTCTCTCCCTCATGTCTTCAGAACCACCGGGCAAACCTCAGACACAGCGAGAGCCCATGAGCGTGACAGAAGAAAGCCAATGGCAGACCAAGTGACTCACGTCACACATCTGCTCTGCTACAGTTTTGTCATGGAAAGTTAATTTGTCCCCCCAAAAATAAAAGTCCTAAGGTGCAGGAAT